GCGACCTCTCCCGCGTCCCCGGCCTCCAGAGCCAGCTCGGGGACCTGGCTGTCGCTGGACGTAGTGGCCAAGGTGGCCCGCCTGGATAAGTTCTTCGATGCGGTCTCGGAGCGTGCGGCACTCGTCCGTGGTGTGGCCATAGTTCCTGTGGTACCGGCAGTGCTTGGACTTGTCAGCACTGTTTGGTGTGTGGCCGGGTGGTGGGAGGTCTAGCAGGTTGCTGTTACTGGCTTCCTCCAGAATGTGGACTCTTGGGGCGTTCAGAGGGGTGTAGAAGTCGTACCTCCCGGCTCTGTTTGTCCTGGCCGACTTCTTGAATTGGCTGTCGTTGTTGACTTTAACCTTGTCTTTGTGGCCCTGTTCTGGTTTGGCGGGGCCCTTACCGCGAACCTGGTCGCGGAAGGCCGCGTGCTCCTCCATTTGAATGTAGCCGGCGGCGCGGGCGCGCAGTTCGTCCATATCGCGAGGGGCGTCGCGACATAGGCTGTCGACGAACGATCCGGGTTTCAGTGCCATGAGCATGGCGTGTAGGGCGACTTCCGGGTTTAGATTTCGGATCCGGACTGATATGTTAGAGAAGCGCTCCATGAAGGCCCGTAGGGGCTCGTCGTCATTCTGTCTGAGGTTGGCCAAGGCGGCCGAGGTTGTGTGGTGAGGTCGGCTGGTGGAGTACTGTGCCGTGAACCGCCGCACCAGGGTGGCAAAATTGTCGATGGACCCTGCCGGCAGTTGGGTGTACCAATGGAGCGCGGGTCCTTTAAGCGAGGTCGGGAAAACCCTGCACAGTTTAGCGTCACTGTTAGTGTAAAGGTTTACCTGAGTCGTGTACGCGTCGACGTGCTCATCGGGGTCCGTAGTGTCGTCGTAGCGGTCAAGGTGGAGGGGATTCCACCCGCGGGGTAGCGGAGTCTCCATGATGCCGTCCACAAAGGGATGACGGCGAAAAGGTTCTTAGCCCTCGGAGACATGAGTGGGGGCCTTGCTGGTGCCCTGCCCTGATCTGTGCGTTGATGCATGAGACCGGTGCGTGGCGGGCCGTGAGTGTGGTGCCTTGGTGGTTGCTTGGGAATGGGAGGCTGAATACGCCTCCCCCTCATGGTCACCGCTGTCGTGCGGTGGTTGGCCGGGGCGATGCCGAGGGATCTGGGCGCGGATGCGCTCGTTCTCGGTGCGTAGCGCCGCTAGGTCTGCTTCGTTAGCGGTGCGCATCGCCGCGAGGTCATTCTCATGCTGGACACGCATATTCTGGAGGTCGGCGTCGTGCTGTCGCCGCATCTGCTCGACTTGTTCGACCAATCGCCT